TCAGAGCCTGGAGCCTGCTTCAGATTCTGTGTCTCCCTCTCTCTCTGCCCCTCTCCCACTCACGCTCTCTCTCAATAATAAATAAACATTAAAAAATTTTAAAAATTAAAAGGTTTTGGAACTTAAAGTGATTTCTTCCCATTTGTGTACATTCCTTTTCCAAACTGACATGTGGACTATTTTTATGTTGTGGATCCTAACATATTATTTGGTGAAACTGTGAGAAGGACAGGCTTTTTCTAAAGAGCAGGAGCCTGGAGGGTAAATTGCATTTTCTGATACTTCTCCCCCTGAGAAGAGGAAGTGAGAGGCAGGCAGCTTGAGTCAGCCGAGGCTCTCTGTCAAATACCCTGGAGTCCTGGGAGCACTTACTGACAAGTGTTGTAGCAGGGATTTTCTGGTATTAATCACCTTACTAGAACATTCTTGCTGAGTAAGCTGAGTATTGGGGTTATGATTATGTAGGATAAACACTGAGTGATGACTATGATTGCTTTCTTTTAGCAGCAGGTATGGTGGAAATCCACTGGGAGAGATCTGTAGTTGGGAATTTGGTGATGACTTTCTTCATTTCCTGTGTCAACTGGCCTGGCGGGTCTGCTGGGTGGCTGATTTCTCTTCCTAGGTTTCTCACATCTCTGCTTATTGCAGGCTAATTATATTTTCTTTAGTGTCTCTTGACATCTTTTTGCCCTTTGTTTCCCTCATTTATATAGTAAAACACACACGGAGTTTAAAGCATAGTATAGTTGAGTAGGTGTGTGTGTGTGTGTGTGTGTGTGTGTGTGTGTGTTTATGTGTTTTTGTTTTTATTTTTTGGAATTTGAATGGTTAAACAAGGTTGTTCTAGCTTTGTTTATCAGTATACAGTCTAGGAAGTTAAAATCCTAGGGTGCATTTCTAGTTTGACATGGAATGTTGTCAGTACTTACCCTTCAGGTGAAATTCAGTAAATTGACATTCACCTCCAGTTTCTTGAGCAAAAATATTTTAAATAAAGATGCTTGCTTAATGTATTTGTCGTCTGCTACTGTCTCTGTCTTCTGCACAAAATCTGCTGCTTTTGGACATGAAGTCATATACTAAGGTGTTTTGCAATTTGCTTGGTAATTACATCTCTGTTGACCTCTGGAAGAAAAGTGATTTTGTTTTTAGCTGTTGTTTAAGCAGATGTCCGTTATCTGAGAGAGCAGCATAGTGCAGACCTCATCATAAATCGAAGGGGGCGGGGTTTAAGGAGTGCTTCATCATATTACATTGTGTCCTTTGGGAATGGGACCTAGAGCTGCAGCAGCGCTCCTCAAGGGAGGGATTGTCTAAGGAGCTTCCAAGGACCAGCTTTCTGTGTAATAAGTATGGTGGGTACTAATCAGTTTCCCTTCCATTGGCTTTATCTGTAAAGCTTTTCAGAACAGCATGGATACTTATCTGAAGAAAATTTGTCTTTCTTATTGCATAAGGCATAGGTATGAAACCAAGAAGCAAGTCAAGACTTCTTAGATTTCAGTAGGAAAAAATATAAAGTAGCCATTCGTTGTCATTTCAGTAGCTAATTTGCCCATGTGGGAATAGTGCTTTGAATAAGGTAGTTATAAAGGAAAATTGTATCTATAATATTTAGAGTGGTTTGTTGTTTTTCATTTTCATGCAGCCTTGAGAATTTTTGCATGATGTTTGATCTTATTTACTGTTGAAACATGAACTCTAAAATATACTTTTCTTTTCCTATAGGGGAGAAATGAAATTTTCCAATACAGGCTTGGACTATTGTCCCTCATCGTAATCTGAGCATTTTATTTTATTTTATTTCATTTCATTTTATTTTAGAGAGAGAGTGCACTCACTTGTGTGTGAGTGGGGGAGGGGCAGAGAGAGAGGGAGAGAGAGAATCTTAAGCAAGCTCCATGCGAGCCCAATGCAGGGCTTGATCCCACGACCCTGGGATCATGACCTGAGCCGAATCAAGAGTTGGATCCTCAACTGACTTAGCCCCCCGGGCATTCCCTATTCTAATTTTTTTTCTTTTCCATTGATCTAAGTTATGCAAAATAAAATCTGAATGAGGCTTTTTTATTTTTTTAAATTTATTTTGAACGTTTTTTTAAATTTATTTTTGAGACAGAGAGAGACAGAGCATGAACGGGGGAGGGTCAGAGAGAGGGAGACACAGAATCTGAAACAGGCTCCAGGCTCTGCACTGTCAGCACAGAGCCCAACGCGGGGCTTGAACCCATGGACCTCGAGATCATGACCTGAGCCGAAGTCGGCCGCTCAACCGACTGAGCCACCCAGGCGCCCCTGAATGAGATTTTTAAACCCTGGACTAGTAAGGCTTTTAGAGATGATTTTAGTTTATTTATTTTTTTTTTTTTAATTTTTTTTTTAACATTTATTTATTTTTGGGACAGAGAGAGACAGAGCATGAACGGGGGAGGAGCAGAGAGAGAGGGAGACACAGAATTGGAAACAGGCTCCAGGCTCTGAGCCATCAGCCCAGAGCCCGACGCGGGGCTCGAACTCACAGACCGCGAGATCGTGACCTGGCTGAAGTCGGACGCTTAACCGACTGCGCCACCCAGGCGCCCCGATTTTAGTTTATTTTAATTAACAAACAGTAAGGCTATTATTAAGCAGAAACTTGCATTTGAATATTTATTTTTATCCCTGGCTTCATAATAACCAGGAACTCGACCCACCTTCACAAGAGTCTTTGGGACATAGTGACTTGGGTATATTGCATTTACTTCCAACTCACCGAAGATCGTATTGATTTTCTTAGCCCCATCAATGTTTCTGGGATTTTATTGCTGCTTGGACTGAAAATCCAGAATTTAGTCCTGATTTTTCCCCACTTTGATCCCCTGTATTCATTCTGTTGCCACATCTTTGGGCTCGCTCTTTGAAATATTCCCAATTGATATATTTCCCTTCTGTGTTACTAAAATCCGTTTTTCAGCACTCAGTGCTGGATTCCTCACTTAATCAGCTTCTGACTTGTTTACCTCCTGTTACCCTCCTTTTGCAACCAGCCCTGCAGAGGCTCTCAGATTAAGTTTCTCATACTTATATTTAATGTTTTGACTCTTGTGCTCGAGACCCTGCAATGACTCCTGCTTATCAGTCTTAGGTTCCAGCTGACTTGTTTTCTGTTGTGTGCCCGAGGTTCTTCTAATCTCACCTCTCAGTTCCTGGCTTGTGGGTGCGGGGCTCTCAAAGTTCTTTCCTAAGTGGATTGTTTGGAAATTGGAATTATTATTTTTTTAAATGTAGAAACAATTATTTAAGAGACGTGGTTGAGTTAAAAGCTATAACTCAAAGGGCTGTGTATCCATATGTAGCTGATTTCTGGCTTCTGGGAGCCAGGAGCCATGTTGAATAGGGAGGCAGGGGAAGAATGGACTGTTTTTTCCGTGGGGTCATCTAACATGAGGCGGAACTTAGAGTAATTTTTCCTGTGTAAAAAGGTAGTCTTCAGCATTTGATTTCTCTTAACTGTCTCCCAACCCTTGGAGCTACTCCAAGGTAAATCGTGCATTAATTAATTCAGTAATTATATTGTTACTAAAAATAACAGTAGTTGCTTTTTACTGAACACTTTCATGTATGATTTTTCTTAAAAATATTTTTTAATGCTTATTTATTTTTGAGAGGCAGAGCATGAGCAGGTGAGGAGCAGAGAGAAAGGGAGACATATAATCTGAAGCAGGCTCCAGGCTTTGAACTGTCAGCATACAGCCCATTGCGGGGTTCACGCCTGTGAACTGTGCAATCATGACCTGAGCTGAAGTCGGGTTCTCAACTGACTGAGCCACCCAGGCCCCCCTCACTTAAGATTTTTCTTTTCTTTTTTTTCTTAAATTTTATTTTTTTAAAATTTACATCCAAATTAGTATATAGTGAAACAATGATTTCAGGAGTAGATTCCTTAATGCCCTTACCCATTTAGCCCATCCCCCCTCCCACAACCCCTCCAGTAACCCTCAGTTTGTTCTCCATATTTGAGTCTTTTCTGTTTTGTCCCCCTCCCTGTTTTTATATTATTTTTGTTTCCTTTCCCTTATGTTCATCTGTTTTGTCTCTTAAAGTCCTCATATGAGTGAAATCGTACAATTTTTGTCTTTCTCTGACTAACACAATTTTTCTAATCCTTACAGCAATATCTTATGGTACTTTAAAGTCATCTCCATTTAATAATTGAGGCAGGGTGAAGTTTAAGCATGTGCAGCTATTGATTTATAAACACAAGTCTTACAAATAACCTATGTGTTTGTGAATCACTTGAAAGAATAAGTACTGTGTGAATGTTTGTTAAAGAAATATACAGATAACCTCCATCCTTTCTCCATGTCAGCTCCTCCCTTACCGTACATAAGCACCACTGATACACTGTTCCTGCTTTTAAAGACAGTGTAGCTTCAACAGACCTGGTTTCTTTTGCTGTTCAGAGACTTTTTAGTTTGATAAAGTCCCAGTTGTTTATTTTTGCTTTGGTTGCCTTTGCTTTTGGTGTCAGATCCAAGTTAACCTGTGCTCAGTGGTAGATTTCAACTGTGTTTAGCATGTGTCACAATTTTCTGTCTTGCTATTTTAAAATTTAATTTCCACAAGAAATAAGTATATGGGGTGGGGTGAAAGAAAAGAGGACCATTCCTGAAGGTGGGGTGTCTGGGAGAGGATAAACCTAAAAGGACTGGTAGGGAAATCTGCTTGTCCTTAATTGCCAGGGGGAGGCTGTGCCCTGTGAAATCAAGGGCCACAGGTGCGTGATGGCCTTTGCCATCATGTGACCTCAGACTATAGAAGTTGTTTCTGACATCATCAGTTGACAAGTAGAATAATAGGTTTTATTTTGACAGCAGAAGATTATTGCATGGCCGGGCTTTCATAAACACTCTTTAGGGCTTTACGTCTGGGAGGCTTAAACCTAATTCCCTCGCATTGTAGCACTAATGCTTTGTGCTTGTCTGTCTCTTGCAGCTTTGTAGGAAGCTAACCTCAGGATGGCCAGCTCAGCCCGGGAGCACCTGCTTTTTGTGCGGCGTCGAAATCCCCAGATGCGGTACACATTGAGCCCAGAGAACCTTCAGAGCCTCGCCGCCCAGAGCTCCATGCCAGAGAACATGACCCTACAGAGGGCAAACAGCGACACAGACCTGGTGACCTCTGAGAGCCGCTCCAGCTTGACTGCCAGCATGTATGAGTACACGCTGGGGCAAGCCCAAAACCTCATTATCTTCTGGGACATTAAAGAGGAGGTGGACCCCAGTGATTGGATTGGACTTTATCACATAGGTGAGTGACATAAGATGGACTTGCATGTGACGCAGAGCATATGTTTTTACTCTGACAGTATCCTAGTTTGTATTTTTTCCTGGAAAAAAAAAAAAATCGCCCACATACAAATAAACTCAGCAAATTCTGGGAATTTTTTTCCCCAGAAAAATTAGAGTAAAAAATGATAAATACCTTTGCTGATATGAATTTGTGGTTACATTTCTACCCTGATTAAATGCCAGAACCTGCAGATTTTACAGTGTTTTCTTTTAAAGAAAGAAAAATTCACATTGCCCTTGAGCAGTAGTCCCATTTTGGGGAGGAGGCGGGTATTAGCTTTTACCTATATTTTTGAACTGAGTGAAAAGAAGTCTAGGTTTAGATAACTGATGTGAGAAAATGTTCTGTAGTTTCTAAAGATTGAATTCCATGAAGAACAACCTGCAGTCTGTGGTGTCTTTTTATATCAAAATTCCTGATGTGTGCTTGATCAGTTAGGTGAAGAACGTGTCATATTCTCTTAATAAATGACTTAGAAATAGGTTGCTGTTTGTTTTCATAAAAATGTCCCAGCTGTATTTAGCTAATTTGTACCTGTTATTCATAGGTGAGCGAATGATGAATGGCACATGCCAGAAAATATAAAATTTGTTTTGTTGAAAGCAAAAATCAAAACCTGTCAACCAGGCTTAAAGAAAATCTAAATTAAACGTGATAATGGGACGCCTGGATTAGCATCCAACTCTTGATTTCAGCTCAGGTCATGATCCCTGGGATCGAATCCCATGTCAGACTGTGTCCTGAGCATGGAGTCTGCTTAAGGTTTTGTTTTTTTTTTCCTCTCTCCCTCTGCCCTTCTTCCTGACACACAGGTGCTCTCTCTAAAACAAACAAACAAACAAACAAACAAACAAAATCCTTAAAGTTGGGGAACTTTTTCACTCAATGAAGGGAATTCTTTTCAAAATTTAACATCAAGTATTTAAAAAAAATTTTTTTTTTAACGTTTATTTATTTTTGGGACAGAGAGAGACAGAGCATGAACGGGGGAGGCGCAGAGAGAGAGGGAGACACAGAATCGGAAGCAGGCTCCAGGCTCTGAGCCATCAGCACAGAGCCCGACGCGGGGCTCGAACTCACGGACCGCGAGATCGTGACCTGAGCTGAAGTCGGATGCCTAACCGACTGAGCCACACAGACGCCCCAACATCGAGTATTTTAATAGAAAGACATTGTTGCTTTCACTGTAGATTATAAGCCCAGCATTTTGTTGTTGTTTTTTAATGAATAAATTAGGGGGGAAATAAAAGACCTAATCATTTATGGCAGTGCTCCTCAATCGGGGGTGATTTTATCCCCTACAGGACATTTGGTGATGTTCGGAGACATTTTTGGTTGGCACAGTTGGGTAGGGAATGGGAGACCAGAGATGCTGCTATACATCTTGGAGCGTATTACAGAACAGCCTCCCACAACAGTTATCTATTAGCGCCACTATTGACAAATTCTGATTTAAGGCAAAGTAACATCCTTTCAGAGATTTTATTAAAATGTTAAGCCCACTAAAATTGATGTTTCTCAGCAAAAAAGAATTGTATTTGACTAAAATAAATTCATTTGTATTACTAATGCAACTCCTTATTAATCATGCTGGATAACAAATCTAAAATGGCAAAAAAACAAAATTCAGGAATTTTTGTATTTTCCTCTTATGACAACAAAACAAAGGGAAAAGTCTTCAGAGTTCAGCATTTTTACCCAAGTGTGTTTAAATATATATATTCAAAATTAGGAAGGGAGGATTTTAAAAATTATATTTTTATATCTGCTATCTATTATATTCACTGAAAAAGTTATAGTTTTGATGTGACTTTAGAAGTAATTCTTTTGATTTTGATATAACTTCACCATTTTGGATTTCACAAAACTGTTTTATTTTTTCTTTTATATGAGTTTTTTTTATATGTACCTATCTTCAAGTTCACTAACTTTATTTTTGCATTTTCATTCTGTTGTCAATCCCATCCAATGGATTTAAAAATTTTACTTTTCACTTATAGAATTTGCATTTCTTTCCCTTTTTATAGATTTTATTTTTCTTACGAGATTCCCTTAATCTTATTAGATTTCTAATGAGTATGTTAACTCATTCAGACCATATTTTCCTTCAGTTATTTGAATTGAACTGAATTGAATGTAGCTGCTTTAAATTCTCTGCTAAATCCTTGGGGCGCCTGGGTGGCTCAGTCGGTTGAGCATCCGACTTCAGCTCAGGTCACGATCTCGCGGTCCGTGAGTTCGAGCCCTGCATCGGGCTCTGGGCTGATGGCTCGGAGCCTGGAGCCTGTTTTGGATTCTGTGTCTCCCTCTCTCTCTGCTCCTCCCCCGTTCATGCTCTGTCTCTCTCTGTCCCAAAAATAAATAAACGTTAAAAAAAAAAATAAAAAAAAAACCAAAATAAATTCTCAGCTAAATCCAGTGTCTGGGCCCCCTAAGGGGCAGTTTTTGTCGTCTGTAATTCCCTGACCGTGGATCCCATTTTCTTGTTTGTTTGCACATCTAGCAGTTATTGATTTTACACTGGCTGCTGAGAGTTCTAAGTTGTCAAAAATCTGAATTCTGTGGAACAATTTTTATTATTCATCTATTCATTCATTCATTTATTTTTGAGAAAGAGAGAGAGGGAGAAAGTGAGAGTGAAGCGGGGAGAGGGGCAGAGGGAGACAGAGAGAGAATCTTAAGCATACTCAGTGTGGAGTCTGACCTGGGGCTCCGTCTCACAACTGTGAGATCTTGACCTGAGCTGAAATCGGGAGTCAGGCACTTAACTGACTGAGTCGCTCAGGCACCCCAACAATTTTTTACTTTAATGTTAATTTTTATCCAGTAGGTAGATTTATTTCTTTGCACTTTCTAGGTATGATTTTCCACCTCGTTAGGATGGATCTGGGGAAAGCCCAGTGTGGTTCCCCAGCACTTCTAACTTGATGGGATGTGGGATTCAGCCTCTAAGTTTGGTCTCCCCTGTGGATTTTGTTAGGGCTTTGTTAGGCCTAGTACTTCTTCCAAAGCAGCATTTCTGATGTCTTAGCTAGATGCCTGGAATGATGATCAGGTGTTCTTTTTCTTCGGCTGGGTCATAACTCCCGTGTTCTCCAGCACTGCTGGACCTCACGGAACTTCAACACACCGTCAGCCCTGTAGCAGCTGCTCTCTGGAAGGCCTTGGTAGTGTTTCCCTGCACATGCGCAGAGCAGACATCAGCCAAAGGCCTGGGGGGCATCCCGATGTGCACTTCTGGCCTCCACCCCTCCATAGCTCTTTCCTTTCCTGTGCCCTGCCTGTTGATCTCTGCATCCTCGGCTTGTCACAACTTCCCAGGACTCCAACTCCCTGCGCTGCACTTGGGAAGTCGTCACCTGGCCGAGATGTGGGTGGTCGTAGAGTCACCTCCTGAGTTTTTCTTGTCTCTGGGATTTTTGTCTTCAGCCACCTGCTGTGCAATGTCTGCAAACCACTGCCTCACAGTTTTACAGTTGGTTACACTGGGAAGGCCAGTCTGGAACTAATTATTGGCCTATGCCCTGAAGCAGAAGTTTTCCCCGTGCTTTTGATTGACAGTAGGGAGTAAGCGGTTTCATTTTATTTTCCCATTAATAAATGGTAGTGGAAGTCCCGTATGTTTGTTAGTTCTTCTTAGTATGTCTTCTAATAGTTTTAGGTCCGTGGCAGGGAAGAGAGGGCAAGCACTGGAGCCCTCAGGCCTCTCGAGCGACCGGGATGCACACGGAGACTAACATTTGCAAGTAAAAATAGCACTTGTGTAGAACTTGGTGTGCTTGGGCATGTTGTTGGTCTCAAAAGGTCTTCTGCAACCAATGACTCTGAAAGGCCCAGGTCCCAGCATCTAAGACATTAAGTATGGCTCATTTCTGTAGTTGAAGGGCCATGACTGTGTTTAGAAGAAAAGCCTGACTTCCCTGGGACCTCAGAATGACTGAACAGAGACCTGGCCTTAAGCAGAGATAGCCATTTCTCCTGAGGCTAAGATGGGCTATTCTGACCTCTAGACTGGAGGCAGCCTCACTTCTGTGGGGACTTTGCCATCCCATGTGGAGAGGGATAGGTGGCAGCATTGTCATTTTTAACTGACAGCTGTTTCCAGATCCTTCTTCCTTACAGGGTGAGGGTTAGGCAGCAAGCCATTCATCTAGAGCAGGTAGGCCCTCCCCAGATTCAGGAAAGTTTTAAACTTATATGGCAATCCAACCAGTGACTAGCGTAGGAGTGGGCGGTGAGCCAGGCCTGGCCAGTGAGATGTAAAGGAAAGACTTTGGGGGAGCTTCCTTTTCCAGTGAAAAGCCAGAGCTTCCTGTAGAGTCATTAAACTTCCCCTTCTCTTGTACCTGGGACTCTGCCGAAAGGCCGTGAGATCTTGCATTGGTGCACCCATGTATCCACCGTAAGACATCAGTCAAGAGTAAAAGCCAAGAATGACAGAGCAGAAAGTTAGGATGAGCTTGGACTGTCACTGCAGAGTTCTTGCTTCACGTGAAAAAAGTCTTCCCCTCTTTGCTTAAGTCACCTGTACCTGTTGTTAATGCTGAGCTGCTAAGTGGTATTGACATGCAGAAGGGAAAAGGAGGGACATCAGCGGTTTGTGAGGGCAGGAGAGAGTGTGTGGGCGACTGCAGTAGTTACTACTCCCGGGAGTGTGCTCGGCACAGTTTCACCAGAGTTAAAGACTACCAGGTTGTGTTTTATAAAAGCAACAAAAATCTGATACCAAATTTTTGAAAGTAGTAACTCCAAGCCTTGCGGAAATTTTCAAAAGTTTAATAGGACCAATCATGTGAGGGAAAGAATGTATGAAATGAGTAAATGAAGTAACCTGAATATATACCAGACCGTTTTCTTGGGCATTTTACGTGAAAGTGGTGAGGGGATACATTTGGAGAAGCTGAAAGAAAAGAGGAAATGCAAGGCCAGGATGGGGAAAAGAATTTCAGCGTACAAAT